CCAATTTTCTATTTTATATAATATTTAATAATTAACTTCCCATAATTGAAAACTAAACTCCAAATTTTAATTTTATTCATCTTGACCCATTCTTCAATACTCATTTCATTCTTTGTATGAAATTGATTTTGGTCTATTTGAAATGACATTTTGGAGTAGTAAAAAAATTGAAGTTTGAATGACATACCCTTGTCTAAAATTTGGACTTAAGTCATGTCTGAGTATCCTACAGTTTAGAAAATAAAAAATTCGACACTTAGATACGTACTTGTACCCAAGTCTAAGCATCAGAGTTTGAGACAACCCTCACATGAGTATTTTCTTTCTTTTGTGTGAACATGTAGCTCTTAACTATTAGGAAAAAAATTTAAAGGATTTTTCTGAGGTCGGGATGAAAACTGACATTCTTTTGTGTTCTTGTCAAATTAGCTTTCTTCTTAATTCAAAAGTCAGAAAAATGCCGATTTTACCCTTTTAAAAATAGACTTTGGGTCGAAGTGGTTCCTTCTTCTACTCGGTCGCTCAGCCTTTGGTCGAGTTGACAAGTTCTAATGTGAAATCCATTTTTGTTATTTCAATCAGAAGTTGGCGGATGAATGTGGTGATCTTGCTGATTTTGATTCTTCTCCTTTTGATCTTTCATTGATGAACTTTTCTTTTAAGGTAACATTGCTACATTTTCATTTTAGATTACTCGTCTGTCCTCTTGTCAGCATGTTTTAAATTCTGAAGTCGACTTGATTCTTGACCTACTATTTATTTATTTTTGCTGTTTATTTGTTCATAGTCAGTAATCAAAATACATGAGGTTTTATTGCAGAATTTGTCACAGCTGGCATCCATCAACCAGGATGTGCTCCTGCAAAGTGGGAAGGATTCATCATCTCCTTGTAAAGGTTCACACACTTAGGCTTCTTTTGATTCTTTTTCCTCCATTTTGTTTTTAACCATTAAGTTGAGGAGGGACCGTTTAGAAGCTAGAACGGTCAAAAATGTAGAATGTTGTGAGTTCACTTTAATCCTTTCTATTCAATGTTATTCAGTTAACGTACCAAACATGTACAAGCATTGATGCTTCTTGTTATAATGAATTTTTGGACTTTGTGTTTATGGAACTAACATCATTCAACGTACATTGGGAAAAAATAGGTAGACAATTTATGGATAACAGGAACTTCGATTCAGCACTGAAGAAATCTATATGCAACCTTGGAGGCACATAATTGCAGCGTGAAGTATAAGGGTCGTGCAATGATGATACTACAAGTTTAACTCAGACGCAGTTCATTTTGAAGGGTAGATGTTCTTTCCTCATAATCAAGTAAATAAAAAACCCTGAACACAATTGAGCGAAGGGAATGAGAAGATACTTGGTCGTGAAAAGAAATATATGGAAACTTACCAATGCGAACATTTACATTTACTTGTTGCACAAATATTATGTTGAAATATGGTGTGTCAAAGTTGATATTTCAAGTGTTTTGCAAGTTGTTCGTGGTGAACATTTAGTTGGAATGCGAAGATGACTAGTATATTTACTTGATTACATCATTTTCCAATGAATAAAGATGTTAAATCTAAAATGAACATATTTATCAATGAACAATTGCAGAAAATTGAAGAAAGTGAATTTGTTTCGAGATTTTGGTTTGGACCTACAAACTTAAATAGTAATTAGAATCATAAGATAAGAGTTGAGGCGATTATTTCAGATTGATCGGGAAAGGTTCCAAAAAAAGGTCTACATGCACGTATTGTCGCCTGTTGGACCATGGTCTAATCCGATGGGCTAAAGCTTATTTGTCTCTTTACAGAAAAATTTAAACATTGACGATTTAAATTTCTTTCTTTGTAATGTTAACCAGTGTTAAAAGCTATGCATTTTTTTTATGGTATTCTCATTTAAATAAATTTAAAACAAAGAGATTACTCAAAATTGATGACTACTCGTACCTATTACCTTGATAGGAGGGATAGACTCAATGCATTGCTTGTGTTCTAATTGATTTTGATTCGTTCGACAATAGTAATCTCTCGAATTTCATTCATAATCAAATACTTTTATTTGTAAAATGCGTCTCAATAAAATTTTTAAGAGAGTACATAGTAGCTCGATTAATAATATTGGACTTTACAATTAGTGAATATTTCAAACAAACTTCTTCTTTAATTATGTTCAATACACTGAATCAAATATGTCGATTTTTCTTCTAGTGCAAGTGAAATTAGAATTACAAAGCAATTGAGAGGTTGTTTAGCAAAATTTTTGATAAAAAATATTAGAGATCTTGATAAAAAGGAAAAGTTGCAAAAAAATATATAGAACCTGTTTGGGAGTGATTTTTTCTCAAAAAAATTTGATTTTTTGATTGTTGTTTCACTATTTCAGTCGTCATATTTGACTTCTTCTCTTATAAGTGTACCTCACTTTTCTTCTAACGGTCAAAAAACTAATTCTCAAAATCACTCCCAAACATGTTCATAGTTAAAATTATTTACTTCTACCTTAACTTTTTAATAGCTTTTTGAACTTTTCCAAAAAATCAATAATTATAACCATTGACCATAAGAGTTGGATAGTACTAAATGGTCCCATAATCTAGTCACAGTGCATACAATCATTTAAATTAATCTTAGCAAATATATGGGTTGTAGCCCACTTACCCTTTGTATCATAAAGCCTTGGAAAGGTGATGAGGAGAAAAGATTGCTACAAGGATTCAATGTAGAGACACACACATTTGGTGCCTATTGGAATCAGAACACAGAAAAAAGGTTAAAAAGATAATCAAAATGGTGATGATTGTTCACAAGTCTTTCACTTTTTCACATTCTACTCATCGTTTTCCCCTTACAGCTGTGTCTCTTTTCAAGTTGTAAATGCACCTTTTTCTTTGTAGAAAGGGGTGGGTAATGGCTTTAATTTGTTGGGTCAAACATGACGGAGAGGGTCTTATATTGGCAAATTTGGCGTCGATCATTCAATTGGAGTGAAACTTATTAAACTAAGCAACCTCAATATTCTCGTATCGGGCTTGAACTTTGGCCCATTTCACTGAACTCACTTGGTCCATTTCCATTGCTCTATATATAGGTAAGGTCATTGACAACAAGATATGAATTATTCTAATTCCAGCAAAATCCCCTCTCCTCTCTTGCACTCATATATATCTCGTTCAACGGTTGATTTGATCGTTGAGTTGAAA